GGTGGTTACGGCCAATCTGTGGCTCACTCTCTGATGTGGGTGACGGTATTTTGCAACAGGTTATGAGTTTTATTCGAGCAGCACGTCGACCAATCAAAAAATGAGGTACTGTCCTATTTGGCCGGGGGCAAAACCGAAGGGGGCGTTTTCGATATTTTCTTTAGTTTTTCGGGGTTTTTGTGGTACCATTTTATCAAATCAAGCATCGAAAGCATCATCGAAAAATAAACTAGGAGCTTAGTTGTAGCCCAAAAAAAGTTATAGCAAAATAAAAAATAACCCATGAAAATGGGGGTTAAAACTCTCGTTTTCGTTATTTTCGCTACTTTTTCGATGTTTGGAAAACGTCATTCGATAGAGCGTCAAAAATATACTAAGAATCTTATTTTAGCCCGAAACAATGTTAAATAAAAAATGTATGGCAGAAAATGCCGAATTTGCCCCCGGCGTGGGTTTTTGCCCCCGCCAAATCGAACAGTACCAAAAGTTTTTCCGTTATAACTTTAACACCCGCCGGCCGGTCGGGCTGACACGTTCCTTGTTCATCGTAAATTGGCTTCCTACCACTGTGCATATTTTGCAGCTCTTTCGGTGCAACCAGGCTCAAGTTTGTGTGTTTTTTTTCGGACGGTAGAAGGTCCCAGCTATGGATATGGATTTCCTATCACGGAGCAGGCAAAGTTTATTTAGGAAATGGAGGGCCGGCTAACAAGGAGCTGAAAAAATACTTTATAACTTGACATTGTCGGGGAAAGGCGGATGGGCAAACCGCTTCGGTGATCCGTAGCCTGGAGTCACGGATTTCCGTATCGCGTCGTCGTATAGTTGTGCAGAGTTTTGATAATTCCAGCCGATCAGCCAAGACGCAGAACACTAAACAAGTTGTTGGGTGCTACAGTGGGCACTAACCCTAAACGAATCAACGTAGAACGTAATATTTTTGCGATCGCGCTTGGTGCTCGTTTTCCAGAATGGTGTCAGAAAGATGCCGTTTGTGTAGAACTGCAAAAATTTTCAGTTCGATACCGGTAACGAGGCGAGATGATCGGAATTCGGACGCCTTTCACTTACGCGAGCGCACTCCTTCGGCCACCAGCTATAGAGAGCGCACCCCGAAAATTCCACGTAGAAAAATCGTCGCTTCGACGCTTTGTTTTCTCGATTCTAAGTGGATTTTAATTAGGCTTCTTTTAGTTTGCCGCTTACCAGGCGAAGCACGCTTTCGACGATGCGCACGGCGTTCTCACGCATCATCACGGCGTCTAATACGTATTTCTGATGGATTCGGAGTTGCACAAATCGATGGTGTGGCAGAATCTGAAAATGGCATGGCAACAAAAAGCACGTATTTTGTACTTTATTTTAAGACGCGAAGTCTAACTTTCGTTCAATATTCCTTTGTGTAAGCCACAAAATGCTTTTCAAACAACGCAAAACGCATAACGGTTTTTCAACCCTGGTTTATTCAAACCACGTACCGCTGCCAGAAAACAATCGATGTCGACGCGAGCGAAAGTACGTTGTTCTCCTGGCTTCAGCACACACGTGACCTGCAAGCAGGCCCGTAGCGGAGGCGGAATTTCGGGGGGGGGGGGCAAAAATTTTGGCGACCAAACCAAAATCCAAAATCGCCGCAGGCGAACAATTTTTTAGACAATTGATGCCGCATTGATTACCTTGTAGACATTTCCAGTCGATTCGGTCAAGCCATACGCTCTATGCATATCTTCGATGGATCCTAAGATCCAGTAAAAATCCCGTAAAATTGAGTAAAATTAAAAATCTTAAAGGGCACCTGGTGCTTTCAGGTTATCGGGGGTCGGTTATTTTAGCGGGAGACGGTTGCGAACTTTTTTCTATAATGTCGTGCGGCTCGGCTAATTAAAAGCTGGCCGTTTTTATAGACTTGTGCGCCGTTTGAAATGGTTCGGGACTGTTAGCGGGGGAGGAGACAGTAAGAAAAACGTCATAAAACATGTTGAAAAAATTTTTCTTTTTCGGTCTAACATATATGAAAATGGCTAAAACCGCGCTATAACCCTAGATTTCGTGACTATAGGATAAATATTTTTATAGTTTTTGATTATCGGAAGCTACTAAAAACAGTATTTAAATAAACTACAATTTATCACTAGGCAGGTATAGGCTAAACAAAAAGAAGATGCCAACCGTCCCCCGCTAAAATAACCGACCCCCGATAACCTGGAAGCACCGGGCACCTCTCTTGACAACAAACCGGATAGCCTCAAATCCCACTGCGATCCCAGCAGCTGCAGCCATTTTCCGCAAGATGTCTGAAAACTGACCATTCAAAATCTCGACTTCTCTAGTTTGTTTATTTGTATCTGGCTTCCTGCTTGGCTCCTGTTTGATTTTAAGTTAAAAAGAAACCTGAACTTTTAACCCCCCGTAGCGTTGACCCCCTGGCCGCTAAACTAGGATTGGTAACACTCCAGATACCCCCGCCCCCCAGCCGGCCCACAACCTTTTTATCTCGGCTCCCTGTTTATCTACAGGTGTGTAAAGTATACCAAAATGTTCGTCTTGCTTTGGCGAGCATTTTGGCATACTTTGTACAGAAGGAACAAACAGGAAGCCAGGTTACGAAAGTTGGGGTACGGCTGCGGGGTATCTGGAGTTCAGCCCTAGGATTTTCTCGGGTAACGTCAAACACGGCGGTTTGGACTTTATTTAGTGTTTTTTCTATGACCAGTCCTCAAAGATCGCTAAAAGTTTTGGGTGACCCCCCGCCCAAATCTCGGCTGCCGTACGGGCCTGGTAGTAAGTAATAAGAATTTCTGTAACCCGAAGACCTCATACCAGATCCACATTGACGTTCACAATTCGCGCCGAACTGCTTGCAAACAGCCTCCTGAGTGGAGAATGCCAGTCAGTGACGAAGAGTTTATATTTCCACCAACGCCAATCGATTGGCTCAGTGGCGGCTTGGCTAAAAATAATACCTATATAATTTTGGCGTGTCTGTAGTTGTGTGTGCAGCTGTCTCTTTCGAAGCCCAATTTGAGGGCCTTCCCGTATAAAGAATGCCCTAATTCTTCCTCACTTCGGGGAATCGACCCGCCGCTATACGTTTTCCATTTACAGAATTTCGATAAAATACAATTTCGCACAGTTTTACACGGCAAGACGGTCCGCAGGAGGCCGCTATTTGAGAGTCACATTTCTCATGCAAATGCCGCATTCCAGCGCCCTAGGCCCGCGAAGCGGGGTTTGGGCGCTGATGGCCAAATCCTACTATGTACAAAAAAATCGTGTCTGTGTGCGTGTGTGCATCCCGCACTTCTTCCATCAGCGTGTCCAAAGAACATATCAAGAGGGGAGAGGTTTTAAGGCACGTAAGATACGTCACTTGGCGCGTAATGGCCTCGGGATGACTGCACGCTTATCATATTTCGAAAAATACGTTGTTTTGACAAAATTAAGTTTTTGTTGGAAAAATCGGAGACCCTCTTTGTTAGGAAATTTTTTTTTGCTCTTAACTTTGCTCATCGGGATTCGAGAGACGGATGCAGAGGGGAAGAATTACATTCTGACCGGACCAAAATAGGTTGAAAAGTTCGCAGCAGCTTTTCAGCCCTAGTAATGGATAACTACCGGAATTCCGATCATTACGCCGTCAGTATTTACGCTAAAATTCATTTAATCGACGAATGTTATGCCGACTTAGGCCGGGTCAAATTTTTACACTGGACGAGGCTATGGGCAGCCTGAAGGATGGGGTATTCGCAGGTAGCATAGGCGAATTCATAAGACCTAAGTCCCCCCCCCGCGGCTAGGTCTACGAACCCCATAAAAACCCAGAGTTTCACTAATGAGGCCAATGGCTTTTTCAACATTGGAACGTTATAAAACAGCACCGAGCCCATCACTGTTGGCGTAAGTTTCAACTCGGTCGGAAATAAGGCGGTTAAATCCTGAGGGGCGGAAGGGGGATTTATGAGACACCTGTGGAAAAAAAAGAATACCCAGATCCGCTAAAATGTGGTTTACCCACTTGATCCATAAGAAGATGAGCAAAAAACCGCCTGGAGCCGGGTGGCAAACAATGGAAAGCGAGGACTCTCCGGTGTGCTGTCCATCATCCACAGATAGCTGCCACTAAACGGTTGCTTCGGTTAATGAATCCGGCCTCGCACGCCATTCCAGGCTTTAACAGGCAGGCACGGATAGCTTTTGGGCTACGGCAGGCTCCTTGCACAAGGGGACAGCGCGCTCGCTAGCGTTTTTGTTCGAAAATCTGAAATTCAAACCTGGACAAAACTGGGTTTTTCTCGAAGTGTAATAGAAAAATTGAAACCAATCCTACTATATGTCAAAAAATAGTGTTTGTGTGTTCCTTGTGTGTGTGTGCCACTTAAAATCTGACTTCCGTCTGTCTGTCCGGAGGATATCTCAAGAAGGACGGGTATTAGACTACGTATGATACGTCATTAGATGCGTAATGGTCTAGGGATGACTGCACACATATCAGGTTTTTAAAAATTAGCCATTTTCGCTATTAAATTTAGGTTTTCGTATAAACCTCTTTTTTGTTAGAATAATTAGCATTGACCGGAAGTGGGCGGTCGTTTATATAAAGAGGCAGACGGGGTTGTTTTTCATTTTTTTTGCCTTCTGGACGAAGGACAATTATGTAATGGGCGGAATAGCATGGGGGTCCAAGACGGGTCCAGGGTTGAAAAGTCGCGAAGCGGCTTTTCAACCCTGGTTGGACCCAAATACACTAGAGCCTTGGGCGCAGATTTTGAGACCTAACTATCGAAAAAAATCTATTCTGGTACTTTTTTGTGATCATCTTTTGAAGTTCAGTTCAGGATTTTGTGCGGTTTTAAAGGGCTGGAGAAAGATGGGCCGGCGTCCGTCGGGGTGACGGATGCCTCGCGCTACCATCGACCTTTCCCTCGCGTAAGCGCCCCCAAAACCCCCCTCGCGTTTGGAAAAACCAGTTTATTGGCTATAACTTTTTCATTTAGCAATGTTTTCAACTAAAAATTTCATGAAACCAAGGAGTTAGTGATACCCACCGATGGTAAAAATTTGAGCCTGATCTGGATAAAAGCAAGGTCAAGTTCCTGCGCCATACGGGTTTTTGGGACACTGTTTTTAACAGAGAGAAAGGCCGCAGGGGCAGCAAAACACCTCTAGAAAGTTGCAAAGTACGTTGTTATCCTTTAGCAAGGTTTTCTACAACATTTTTTAGCTATTATCACCATGAAATTGCTTTATTTCTAATGGCAGTTATTGTACAGGTGGAAATGCGCCCTAGGGTATGTGGGGGCCCTCCGCCGCCCCTCTCCACTCGACTCTCTTAAATACTGGCTTAGCGCATCGGACTGCGGGGCGGACCATCCTGGTTCGACCCCGTCCGGTGCGACCCCTCTTGCTCTTTCATCGATTCCATCTTTCTCCAGCCCTTTAAATAGCGCAGAAACCAAGCATTGTCGCTGAAATCTGAGCCTAGATTTGGTAAAATCAAGGTCGATTACCCCCCAGTGCGTGAAATCGACGCCTAAAATGGCTCCAAGTGACTGTTTTGCGAAAATGTACGCCAGTGAATCAATCGTCTCTTTTTGATCGGGTTAATTTTTCCAGATCCTTATTGTTTTAGCAGTTTTCAATGACTGGAGCACGTTTTAAGCAAAACGCAAAGCTTGGCAAAGGTTTTGGGGAGAAATAGCGGTTGCCCGTTGGTCCCGGGGGTCGAACCCGGACCCTCTGTTTGAGATTTGGGATCGGCGCTAACCGATTGCGCCGCGGCCCCGGGGGGTCCTATCCGTGCCTCCGTGGAATGCCGTGCTTGATGCCGCAATACCGACAAGCCAATTTTCTGACGCGCAAAACACCCCGAAAAATTCGAGCTTTTGGCGCCGGCATCTTTATTGCCGTTATTCTGGCTGGCGGCATGATGAATGTCACCATTTTCAATGCTGAGCGATTGCCAGTCTCAAGAAAGATGTTCTTACTGGGCGGATGGAGGCACGTCTCAAGCGGCGCGGAACCAATTTTTCCCGGATCACGGCGTCGGAAAGCGACTGGAAATCAATATACAAGGTGATACATACCCAAGCATAAGCTTAAGCCTAAACGCTTTCCTGAGTCGTTGTGATGACTGTTTAGGTCCGGGGGTTTTTGTTAGTCCGTAAAATATCCCCGTCCCCGAAATCGAATACAAACCTACCTTGCAAGCCCTTCGTGCTAGCATCTTATCGTAAACGCTCAAATGGATGCATACAAGTCGTTGGCAAAAGATGGGAAGGGACGAGAAGGGGAAACGAGGCATGTTGACAATGAGAACATTCCATCGTGATTACGAATATAGCACCGGGGGCGTGGCTTCAAAATCTGACCTTTTGCAAAGGTCAACACGAATCACCAATAGCTCGCCTCTATAGTAGTGTCAACTGATGATTATCCCGCGGTGAGTTCATTCGGCAGAATTTACATTTGGGGTATAATTCTCATTTGGCATAATGCTATTTTGCATGCGGTTATTTGGCACAATGCTGTTTTTGGACCACTTTTGGTAGCTGTGCATATGGCCGGCGCGAGACAATCGGTCAATGGAATGGCAATCCCCCTACGTTGCCACTCAGCGCCATTTTCTGAAGTAGACGATCCGGAAACTCGGATCTCCTACGTCTAGGGTAATCGGTCCAATCGCAAATTATGTTAAACCAGCGCCCAAAACCCGCTTCGCGGGCCTTGGGCGCTGGAATGCGGCCTTTTGCATAAGAAATTTGACTTTCCCGATAGCTCAGGTCCTTCGGACCCCCTCCCCCCGGCCGACCACCCGCGCGCGTGCAAGTTGCAAGAATGAAGACATCTCTATTTTTCTCACATTATTTTACCACCTAAAAATGAGTAAACCGGCTTTAACTTTGTAAACTTGTATTTTATCGAAATTCTGAAAGCGTCATTGGAAACAGAAGGGTTGATTTCCCCAAGTGACGGAGAATTAGAGCATTTTATGCACGGGAAGGCCCTCAAATCCGGCCTTGAAAGTGACATCCACACACACACACAGTTACACGCCAAAATTATATAAGGTAGGATGAAAATTATACCAAATTAACGTAAATCCAATCCCGCAGGTGTCTGTGTGCGTCTGTGTTTATGTTTTTATGTGTGTGTTAATCAAAAATGTCCGAAACTCTCAGTTCTCAAACGTATAATCATCAAAGCAGGCCCTCAAATCCGGCCTTGAAAGTGACATCCACATCGCATCCACATCAAAGCAACAAGATAAAACATCACTAGACTATCAGAAAACTAATGTATTTTCGTCTTTTGTAGGGCGTCGGCGAACAGCGTCTGGGAGTTGGAAGAAACGACCTGAAGCAGAAATTTTCACTAAATGAGCGATGACTACCTTAACTTTGGCATAGTCGCCCGGGCTCAACGTGTCACCGTTTTTACAGATTGCGGGGAACTAAAACAGGGACAGTTTTTTAATCGGGGAAAACTCACGATGGCTTTTGTGCCCCCGTCGACGCGGCCAAACAGCTGCTCGGTGCTGCGTTTGCTGTGCTAAAACAAGATTTGATACTACCATATTTGAAATGAAGGTTCTTTCGCCGGACCCAACTATTTTTCTTACTGTAAAGTGTTTTTACTCAACTTGGAGTTTCGATTCGGGACCGAGTGCATCTTGTACAGAATTTTTTGCTGATTCCGAATATCGGGTTTCCAAATTTGCTGCACGGACAACGCTATTCTGAGCTATACGGCAATTGCGACCCTTAGTTTTCACTCAAAATGAAGGTATCGTGATAGTTTTCGATTTTCTTCATTAATTTCAACGTCAAAATTGACTAGGCGTTGGCTCGACAAGCATCCCACAGCTCAAAACAAGCATTTTAGATAAAAAATGAGATTTTTATGCAAAAAGCAAAACAAATGATGCAGGCCGGGGGTCGAACCGCCGCCCTGCGCTTGGCAAGCGAGTACTTTGCCAATGCACCATGGTGCCAACCGGGTAGGGTGCTGTGAGAGGGTAGTTCAGGGCCCCTGGTACCATAGCCCCAAACAAGGAATAGTGGGCCAGCGGTCTGAATTTTTGGCATTTTTCGGCCTAATTGTTACCAAAAAGGATTTTTTAGATAAGCAATGTCGGGTGGTAATTTGGAAGGCCATATTCGAAATCAGCGAAAAATTCCCGCACAGGATGCACCTTGGTCCCGAATCGGAAACTCAGTTGAGTAAAAACACTTTACAGTTAGGATCCAATT